AAATGGAATATATTTATCGGCGATATTCCAATCAGTAGCTATAAATTAGTTGATAGAAAAAAGGAACTACGTATGTGTGTGATCGAGTAGAATACGCGAATTCGCATAACATAAAAAAAAATTAAAATAAGAACGGATCATTGCATTTCAAAGTAAGATTACAAATAAAGCAACAACACCAACACTAATCCCAGGTTAATATTAAAATAAAAGTCGGTAGCAGACACAACTGCCATAACAGCGGTAGCACTGTAGATAACAGAAGCTAAGTAGAACCAAATAGAAAGTATTCAGCAGCGCAGCACAGCGCTTTGTGCAAATTAGCCAGCCACACACACACACACACACACACACATATGCTTAGATACATTATGTGTGCCAGCGTTCCAACAATGATAAGCGTTGTTAAATTTGTCCGTTTATTATTATTGCCATGGCTATTATTTATGGCCAGCAATTCTACTGTCAACAATGTCGCTGCAAATGGGACGCCAATAAGTCAGCCACAACAGCAGGAAGTGTTATTTGTGCAACAACAACAACAGCAACGGCAGCAGCAAGAGTGGTATCTTCAGCAATTGCAACAACAACAGCAACGTCAACAACAACAACAACAACAGCAACAGCCGCCTAATCCGATATTTCCCGCCATGCCGCTATCGGCACCCACAACAAACGCCGCCACTCAGTTGTTACCTGAAGCTGCTAAAACAGCTGCAGAGGATCTTACAACATCAGCGCTACCAAATGGAGTAGGTAAAATGAGATGAGGCAAATACATATGTATGAAAGTATAGAAATAAAATAAAATAGTAATGTGTGTAGAAAACAATAGATATCTAATGTAATCAATACCGGTTGTCATTCGCTACTTTTTTTCGAAGAAGTTATTTTTTGCTGCATACAAACTATACATGAGTACATATGTATGAATATTAGACTGCATCACTCCCCATACAAAAAAAAAAAAAAACCGGTACTGTTTTCCATTGGAATTATAAAATCTATTATATTTTGAGACGTCTACCAAAATATTTCGGAAAAATATTACGATTTACGTGAGCTTGAAAACAAACTCACTTTCGGATTTCTCTAACAAAATTCATATAGACCAAAGATTAAAACTTTTTAAACGACTACGAAAAATAGAACAAATTTTAACCCAAATTTCAAACTTTTTTCTTATTGTTTATTCGTTATATGGAAGCGAATGCGACAAAAGAAAATTCTAAATAATCAAAAGTAATTTTTAACCACTTGAAACTTGCACATTGTTAGACAAACATTAAATGGGCTATAAAAAAATTCTAGCACTTCTGAGAAAAAAGTTTGAAATTTGGGTGAAAATTTGTTGCACTTTTTTGCAGTCTTTTAAAAAGTTGTAAACTTTGGTCTATATGGATTTTGTTAGAGAAATCCCAAAGTGAGTTTGTTTGTTTGTTAGGCAAGGGAGCGTGGCACCTCCCATACAAGCGGAATTTTTCATACTGCATATCTCAGGAAATATTTGTGATAGAGTACTGGAGCTTTGTATGGAGATATATTAAATTAATACATACTCATGGAAGAGGACTGCCACCAGTTTAAAAAATCAAATTCAACTTAAATGAAATGAATTATTTATTTGAAGATTATATTAAAAAATGGATGTCAAGAGGTTTAAAAGAGTTTTAGTTTGAAAATATTTTGGAAAGCGGTGCCACCTGTTTGAAAAGTAAAATTCAAACTAATTATTCGCCAGCTATCTGAAAAGTTAAAATATGGATGTTAAACGAAAGATCGTTAGAATATTATTGAGGTGTTTTACAAGGGTTGCCACCCGTTTAAAAAATAAATTCAATTAATTTAAATTAATTACTACAATATGGGTATCAATCGACACCGGTTTAAAAAAGGGCTTCATTTGTAAACTACATGTAAGTAAGAAAAAGCATCACAGAGAGAGGTTTAGTTTTAGTTTGAAAATATTTTGAAAATGGTTAAAAAATGTAAAATCTCCTATTTTTGGCATGGTTTTAGTACGTTGGTTTTTATTGAAGTAAATTACACCGAATGCAGCATGCAGTAATTTCATGTTGGGACAATTTTGTTTTTTTTTTTTTGTAGTCAAAAGATTGGTTCAATACAGCGATGTTCGATCAAAAACTTCAACAAATTAATTTTCGTGATTGTGATAAAGAAAAATATTTTGTGTGTTTACACAATTGGGATACGATTTGCACCAAATTTTGGCAAATACCCAATCGTGTGACACTGCCTTTAAACTTGCATTTATACGGATGTTTTTAAAAAATGAACTACAAAAAACTAAGCAAAATTAAATAACAGCAAAAATAATATCTTAAAACTTTGAAAATTTGATGCGGCTATAGGTTGACTATGCTTACTCGGCCGTGCTATCATAGTACCACAATGCCACTAAGCGCATTTTAAAATTTTCAGGCAATAGCCTCGTGCGATTATCGATTATATTTTTTGTTGTTTGTGTGAAATATTTTATTTTTATCAGTGTTTTTCTTTTAATCAAAATATGTTGAAATTAAAGTGAAATACAAAAAAATTTGCGATTTCCACAGAACTGTTTGTTCAAAATCTGTCACGCAAAAGTTTGCAAAAATAAAAAAAAAATAAGCNGTTTTTCTTTTAATCAAAATATGTTGAAATTAAAGTGAAATACAAAAAAATTTGCGATTTCCACAGAACTGTTTGTTCAAAATCTGTCACGCAAAAGTTTGCAAAAATAAAAAAAAAATAAGCAGAGATAAATAAAAACTTTAACTGCAACGAATATGTATGCGGAACTTTTGTTATCTTTCATAACTTGATTAAAAGTATTTAGACGAACTTCTTCGAAAAAATCTACACCTGCGGTCAACTAATTAAGGCCGAAATTCAAAATTTCAAAAATTTTAATTAGAATATTTATTTTCGGGTAAGCAGTTTTGTAGCGTATTCAATTTTAGTACAATAAAGTGCAAGTTTCAAGTCGCTAAAAACTTCCGTTGATTTTTTTAGATTTTTATGTAGAGGGTGTTGCGCATTTTCTTCCATATAACCCATATAACCCACTTTAAGTGACTAAAATTGAATGGGCTACAAAATTGCATACCCGAAAATTTTCTAAATATTCTAATTAAAAATTTAGAAAAAGTGATAATATCATTTTGAATTTCAGTGCTAATTAGTTGGCCGCAAGTGTATGTATTTATGCATACACTAATATAATGCAGGTTTCATAAGGCAAAGAAAGCTGACTATAGACAGAAAGTTACTATTTTATCAAAACGCCTGCTGGTACATTTCCATTTGGATTTCCAGGATTAGAATCCGAGTTTATGCATACGTATTAAAGACAAATAATGGCGGATTATATTATTAGATATAAGCTAGGAAAACTATTTATTTTTTGCAGATTATTCAAACGACACCCTAGACTTTGCAGAAAACTCAATCAGTGACGAAGCCGATGAGAAGCTGCCCAGCGAGATTCAAAAAGCTGTTTGTACAGTGACTGCAGGTGAAGTACGTGCAAGCGCAGAAGCTGTTACCACGAAAAAGCTCAAAGGTGTTTGTGGATCGGGTGAATATATATCTAAAGTTCAAGTTAGTTTTACTCTAATTTATTCTCCGAAATTTTAAGCTGAGCTTAAGTTAGCCTTTAGTGATTTGGAAGCTAAACTCTATAAGGAATTACAAGAAATAAAAACACTGCTGCAATACATAACGCAACAGCAGGGCATAAATGTGCCACAAATGCTTGGGTCAATGGGTGTTACAAGAATACCGCAAACGCAGTTAAATAGTGTTACAGCAACAAACCCCTACTCGAGCACTTCACCAATATCACCAGCTACAACACCACAGTCACCGCCAACTACAACGCGCACGCCACAGCACAAACCTTTAGCTAGTAATAAACCGACTAAAGCCACTAAACCGAATTTCCAACCCATCATAGAGCCTAAGAGTAATGCC